AGCCTTCTCTTCTCCAGGCTGAACAACCCCAACTCTCTCAGCCTGTCCTCACAGCAGAGGTGTTCCACCCCCTGATCATTTTTGTGGCCTTCCTCTGGACCCGCTCCAACAGGTCCATCTCTGTCCTGTGCTGAGGACCCCAGAGCTGGACGCAGCACTGCAGGGGGGGTCTCACCGGAGCAGAGCAGAGGGGCAGAATCCCCTCCCTCGACCTGCTGGCCACGCTGCTTTGGATGCAGCCCAGGATACGATTGGCCTTCTGGGCTGCCAGCGCACAGTGCTGGCTCATGTCCAGCTTTTCATCCACCAGTACCCCCAAGTCCTTCTCGGCAGGGCTGCTCTCAATCCCTTCATCCCCCAGCCTGTGTTGATACTGGGGGTCACTCCGACCCAAGTGCAGGACCTTGCACTTGGCCTGGTTGAACCTCATGAGGTTCACACGGGCCCACTTCTCGAGCTTGTCCAGGTCCCTCTGGATGGCATCCCGTCCCTCAGGCGTGTCGACCGCACCACTCAGCTTGGTGTCATCTGCAAACGTGCTGAGGGTGCACTTGATCCCATTGTCTATGTCATTGATGAAGATATTAAACAGTACTTGTCCTAATACAGACCACTGCGGGACACCACTCGTCAGTGATCTCCATCTGGACGTTGAGCCGTTGACCACTACCCTCTGGATGTGACCATCCAGCCAGTTCCTTACCCACCAAATAGTCCATCCATCAAATCCATATCTCTCTGATTTAGAGAAAAGGATGCTGTGGGGGACCATGTCAAAGGCCTTACAGAAGTCCGGATAGATGACATGCGTAGTTTTTCCCTTGTCCACTGATGTAGTCACTCCATCATAGAAGGCCACTAGGTTGGTCAGGCAGGACTTGCCCTTGGTGAAGACATGCTGGCTTTCTCAAATCACCTACCTGTCCTCCATGTGCCTTAGCACAGCTTCTAGGAGGATCTGTTCCATGATCTTCCCAGGCACAGAGGTGAGGCTGACAGGTCGGTAGTTCCCAGGTCCTCCTTTCTACCCTTTTTAAAAATGGGTGCAATGTTTCCCTTTAACCAGTCTCAGGGACTTCATCTGACTGCCATGACTTTTCAAAAATAAGTGGGAATGTCAAGACAGTCTGCAGTAGCACAGCATCTGATCTTCAGCAAAGTGACACAGAGTAAGGAAAATACTGAAAGTTGATAACATCCAGATAAATTTTCTTCCAGAATTTGACATTCATACTGCGAGATGAAACCTTCACTATTTCTGGGGAAAATCCTGGAGTACGATATAACGTGAAAAAGAACGCCCTTCACCTGATGTTTGATATCATTATCCCAGGAAAATACAACATGACCCTTATCTGGAATAAGCACATGAACTTCTTCATCAAGATCTCCAGAGAAACACAGGTATTGCAGACTAACTTCCTCAGTAAACTGTCCTTCAATTCAGATTGAACTGCACATTTGATGATGGTTGCCCTGACACTCTATGATGGCAAAGGTTTTTCAGAGATGCTACTAGCAATTCATTTTCATCATTATCTCCAAAACAGCAGAGACTTTCACTAGAGGCTGATTTTTTTTTACTGCATTCAGGAAATTCTTGAGCTAAGTGCTTGTATTTTATACTACTGCATGGTTGAATTTGATCTCTAAATGATCACAGTTTACACTTTAGAGGGGAAACATGTTCATCCCCTGATGAACAGAACCTCATGCACAAGACGCTAAGAATGTATGAGAGATTATTTGTAGATCACATTCACTACTAAAGCACAAGAAACTGTCAGTAGTCGAAAGGGAAGGTGAGTAATTGTAACTTGCTGAACTGACATCGCTGCTTTCATTTAATATAGGAAACTATATGCGGTTTGTGTGGGAACTATAATGGCAATATGAAGGATGATTTTGAAACTCGAAGCAAGTATGTGGCATCAAATGAATTGGAATTTGTCAATTCTTGGAAAGAGAATCCTCTCTGTGGGGATGTATACTTTGTAGTGGACCCCTGTAGCAAGAACCCTTATCGTAAAGCATGGGCAGAAAGGACATGTTCCATCATCAACAGCCAAGTCTTTTCTGCCTGTCACAATAAGGTAAGAATTGATTTGGCCTTCTTTTTATTTATAGGCATAATCTGTATTCTTCCAAAATGCTCACATTCCAACACTTGATTTTCTCTTCCCCAAAATGTTTTAATAAAATATATATATATAATGTTTTATGGCTCTCATTTATGTTAATCTTCATCCCTTCTTATTTGCACTTCACCAGCCCTTTTGTAAGCACAAAAGCTAAGTATGGCGTTAACTGATTAGTTAAAAATATCAGAGTGAAAAAAGAATGAAGACTTAAGTATCAGAAACCAGTCAGTCTGTTGATGATGCCTGATACTGATCTTTTGAAACCATTTAGCCTTTGTTAGAAAACCAAACTTAAGAAAAAGCCTGAAAACACTTGTGCTCATCAGTAAATCAACAGCATTACTTAGAAGATGCAGATCAGCTCAAGAGCAAGATAGCGTCAGCCCCCCTATTTGTTTTAAGTTGCCCACTTCGTTGAAATGAAAATATCGCAAGGTTCATCAGAACCAGGCCTTCGGAAGTAAGATCCCCATTTTCAGGAGGTGAAAACAAGTGAGAAATGTGGATAATGCTGCAGTGCTCATGCATATCTATGGAGGGTGTACAGCTGATGAACTTAGACATTTGTGCCTGAATGGATGTGGGTGTTTGGGGTTTTTTTTTTACTTGTCTATACATAATATGTTCAGGACTAGTATGAATTTAGAAATACGTATCTGGCAAAACGTCATCAGTTTCTATTGTTGATGTGGAGACACCTACATTCTTGCCAAAAATATTTGTATAAAGTGGGATTGTAATTGCTTTGACAAGCGTTCAGAGGAAATACTAGTTAGTCTCATTTAATGGAACACGTATTGTTTAGCCCAGGGAAAAACACCTTCTTAACAAATAGGCACAAAAGAATCCTAGAAAATTCATTACTTCATTTTCCAATGCAGGTGAATCGTATGCCCTATTATGAGGCCTGTGTTCGAGACTCTTGTGGTTGTGACATTGGAGGGGACTGTGAATGCATGTGCGATGCCATCGCAGTATATGCCATGGCATGCTTAGATAAAGGTATCTGCATTGACTGGAGGACCCCTGAGTTCTGTCGTAAGTTTCTTTAAGCTCTCTTTAAACAGGTTTAAGAGTATTATTGTTACTGTGAGTACATTAATATGGCAACATAAGTAATTGCTTAATACCACCTCCTTAGCTGCATTTTCTCTATGGGCAAAGAGTTGACTTCGGTCACCTGGGTTTTGAAATCTGTAGTTTTCATTTGTGCTAAATTAACGAAAATATTATATCTCTTTTTACCGCAGAGTAATGAGGGAGAAAATAATGTGGTCACAGAAGGCAGACTATTTCTTCTGCTGCCACTGTATAGTGAACTATCATTTTGTCAGCAGAGGGAGTATGAAATTGTAAAAAAAAATGTTTAATTTTAGCTGTGATGAAATCACCTTCTGTGTGGATGTCAAGGAAATAAAGACAGCTGTGTTGGCTTAAACACTGTAAAACAGGAAAAAGATATCAAGGTGTTCCAGAACACCGTATATGGAGGAAAAAAGAGGATGACTATGTTATAAATCAGTGCTAGAGTTGTCATCTTTAATGGTTTCTTTTCAACATTTCACTATATCAGGCATTAAAAATTGTGGAAATGCCTGCATAGTGCATTTGAAAAAAAGAAACTGACTTCACTGGAGCGTAAATTTCAATATACATCAGAAGCTAGTAACTTTAGTGACAAAACTTTTGATTCAAACTGTTTATTAATTTTGTCCTCCCTTTAGTCCTTTGAAAATAACATGCCACTAATTTGGAAGACTCTGATTTCTCTCTTGCTTTTATCTTTTTTAGCTGTCTATTGTGAGTATTACAATTCTCATCAAAAAACAGGAAGCAGTGGTGCTTATTCCTATGGCTACAACAATGGCAACTGCACCTGGCATTACAGGCCTTGTAATTGTCCAAATCAAAACTACAAATATGTCAACATTGAAGGTAATAAGCTATATTACTATAAACCAGGAAACAGTAACATAGTAATTATTTTCAATGCTATTTTTTTAAATCAGTCATACCACAGTTAAGTAATGGTATTCTATTTGATGCTATCTTTGAAGCAGTTTTGCTGATCTTTACCTTACTACTACTGCTTTAAACACATAATCAGTTCAGTACCTGTACTACACCTAGCTTTATATTGAGCTCAGCCGATCTTGAGGAGAAATTCTCTGACCTGCACCAAATCAAAAGAATACACTGTACTTAGGTAAGAAAACATGTGGAGAGAGCAGTTAATATTTTTATTAGACAAATGGATACAGTTGGAGAAACCAGAAAAAATTACTATATAGACAGACCCTTCTTCTGAGGATGACATTGGAAATGCTTACCTGAATAGATGATGTTGCGATTCATACAATTTTTTAATAACAGAAATGTAAGATATTAGATTATTAAAAGTATAAATTAAATGCTGTTCTCTGAGAAATGTAAAACAAAGTTCTCTTCCCCTTTCCTCAGGCTGTTACAACTGCTCTCATGATGAATACTTTGACTATGAGAAGGAAAGATGCATGCGATGTGGTAAGCAGCGACCTATTTACTCATTCTCTTTCTCTTCAGTAACTGGAAAACAATACTAAAACATTTGTACATTCTCAAAGAAGGTATTTTTCCTGGTACCTCTCAATTAATAATGAGTGTTCATCCAAACATAACTTTCCTTCAAAATAACTGCTAGTATGTAAATCTTCAGTTGGTAAATAAATGAATGAAAAGAACTAATTAAAAAAAGGATTAGGGTAGGGAATGCTATAAGACAGAAGCTGAATGACCCTGACTGATTTTAGTTAGCGACATTTCATTCGAAGACACCGAGGCGAAGGG